ACTCTAAGCGTAAACACAATCTTAATAGTAAATGACATCAGGTCATTGACAAGGTTTGATCAAATTGACCACAACTCTGTCTCTTGTCATCGTAGGATCTTAGTTTAAAAGGCAGCGGCCGGTGTGCATTCCTTCAGGGAATTCTTTTCATTTCAAATTTTTTCKTAAAAAGTCAAATTTGTCATTCACATCTGTATTTATAATGCTAAAAGATTCATATTTCTAAATCTCGTGCCTTATCTGGCTTGCAGGCCTCAATAGAATTTATCACTTTATCCAACAAAAAGGTTTTTCTGCATTATTTTCCCTAAACGTGTTGCTGAAAACAGAAAGGTTGGGTCAACCTCTTTTTTTGAAGAATAAWCTCTGTCCACTGCAGCGCCTTTCATTCTGTTAAAGCAGGGTCACAAATGACTCATGGATCATTTGATGCTGTTGTGCAAAAACTTCCATCCATCATCTGCTGCTTGTTCCAGAGTCGGACAGCTTGAACAGAAAGGCGCAGACCTCTCTTTCCACAGCCACCTCTTGCAACGCTTCTGAGAGGATTTTAAAGGGGCTATATCTTGTAAAAAATAAACTTTTTTGAGTTTTATATCATGTTATAATGTTATACTCTCATATAAAGACATGCTCAAAGCCTTGCATTGACTCATTCATGCATGTTTGAGAAATCCTGCAGCGTTTTTAGGCAGCCATGCTGAGGAGCAAAACAACAGGTGGGGACCAGAAACGCCCCTGGGACATGTCTTTAAGCCGAGCGTGCTCAGGGCAGGGTGCCCTCCCTCCCTCCCTTCCTTCCTTCCTTCCTTCCTCACACACCCCGCCCATGAATCCTGCAGGCTCTCGGCAGTAACAATGGGTGAAACTGAAAGTGAAACCTAAACTGTCTGCTGAGATCCACCACTTCTCACTCAGTGAAGCTCTTTTCAGATTCAAAATACCTTTTAGGAAATGTTTTTCAGATGCCAAGTAAACTGCATCATGGCGCGCACGCGAACCCCCCAGGCGCTGAAATGGGTGGGACAGAAGCGAAGGTGGTTCTTAAAGAGACAGAGGCCAATTTCAAGATGTTTAGAAGAGGAAGTGATGATAAGATAGGTTTATTTTCTATTTAAACATAAAAACAGCATTTTAGTAACAACTAAAGGTGACATAGTTACTTTATTATGGTATAGTATTTAAATATATGCCTGAGAAACACAATATTGCCCCTTCAAGAGAGTCTCTCTCCAGCYTGTCCTGAGTCTTCATTGGGGTGTCCTCCCAGATGGACATACCTGGAAAACCTCCTAGGGWGGCATCCAGGAGGCATCACTACCAGACCCCAGAGCCACCTCYAATGGCTCCTCTTGATGTGGAGGAGCAGCGGCTCGTTTCTCCTGGATAAACTGAACTTCTCACCCTGTCACATGGGAGGGTCCAGTCTGCAGACCAAACTCACTTTGATGGCTTTGCTTGTTTCCACAGTCTTGTTTTTTTTTTTTTTTTTCGGTCGCTACCCAAAGTTTGTGACCGTAATAGAAATGTAAACCAATGAGTAAATAGAGATTTAGGCTACGTTTTGAAGTGTTTAACTTTGTTTACAACTTTTTTTTCTATAGAACACATTGGGAGCTCTTCAAATCTTTGAGAAACCTCAGTGTTTTTACTTCATTTGTAGTTTTTAGATAATATTTGCTAACTTCAGCTATTGGCTATTTTGGTGAATTTAGTTTTTTAGCTACAACTGTGCTGGTTTTAACTTTATTATTGCTTTGCTAAATTTACCTGTTAGATATTGTTTTGTTAATTTTATATTTTTATTTATAATGTTGGCTTTTAATATTTTGTTCAGTAGCTTTGCAGCTTTTGTTATGATTGTTTTACTTTAGCAAACTGGTTTCTGTCCCTTCAGCAAATTTTAGCAGCCATTTATTAATGGTAATTTRGTTCCCCCACCAGTCCACGGGAAACTTGTGTATGAAACCAGTCTGTGATGCAAAGGTTGGGGCCGGCTATGTTAAAGTATCCATGTGATGGGGTTACAAATGCAAACGAAGTTTAATGGACTTCTCTGGAGAAACACAAGCAGAGAACTCTTGCTCCCATCTCCACACCTACATCTGAAAAAAAGGAAACAAAAGACAGATGGGGGGAAAGTTACTTCACCCCAAATAAAACCTCAAAACTTTTTTACTCCTCCTATTTCCACCAAACCTTCGCCAACAGACACTGAAACCTAGGGAGTAATTCAGAGTTTGAAAACAGGAGTTAAATATCTATACTATAATATCACTCACCCTACACTCGACTGTTTTATGATGGCCACTGCTAAGCTACAGTGTAAATGAAACAGATCTGAAAGCAACCGAGTCAGATCAGCAAATGGTGTTTATATTAAGTTTTAATACAAAAGTTTTTAATTAACAAGAGCAATGTGACACTGCATCGTCTCACACATCTTCAAGCTGAGGAGAATAGAGGATTTAATCCATATCATGTGTGCTGTTCAAAAAAAATTGAAAGCACAAACCGTTTGACCAAAATTCATCCATTAACACAGCAGTTTTTTTCTTTTYACTTTCAGAAAGTAATCATCAAAAGCATGTTTTCAACTGACTGGTTGTTGACAGTAAAAAAATTTAAAGTTGTATTTAAAATTTGACAGGGAACCAATGGAGAGAATATCAAACTGAAGAAATCTCTCATCCTAACTCTTGTCAAAACTCTGGCAGTTTTTCTGGTTTTTCAGACATCCTGTTAATAAAGAATTAAAGTCCAGAAGAGAAGTTGTAACCAGTTTTTCTGCATCGTTTTGGAACAAGATGTTGCGCAAGTGGAGGGAAGCGGTTATGCAGTGGTTAAAAATCACAGCAGGTGACGTTAACGTTACCAGGTTGGTAACATTAGTACCAGAGAGAAAATTAATACCATTCATTGTGTGAAAAGCTGCTAAGTGAAGATTCTCAGGTTTAAAAAAAAYCACAACTTCTGCTTTATCTGAGTGAATCATCCAGGGTTTATGGATAAATACAAATCAGTAACAAAACAGAAAGAAAAATAAAACTTTAATATAAAACAAAACAAAGACTGATGTGGCAGTAGAACTGAGGATGGGCACAAGGAGAAAGCTATGTAATGCTTAATTGCTTGACTGATGTGAGAACAAGTGGYCTGGGGTCTATGAGCAGGTGGGAGACATGGCCTGACCTGTG